GTTTGGGTCCTGGAGCCCCACAGCCCGGGTCAGTGCATTAGTCCCTGGCCCCCTGCCGCCCGGGGGGCTGCCTCTGTTGCCACTGCTAGGGCGCTGGGCTGGAATGCAGTGGAGTGGGCGGGCCTGTGTCCCTCCCTGGCCACCCCTTCACTAGGGGGTGGCAGGTTTCCCCTGTTCCGGGAAAACCTCAGCGCTTGTTGGCTCTCTGCGAAAGCTAGGAGAGCTGACCCCCTGACTCAGCCTGCAGACAAGCCTGAGCCTTAAATTGTTATAGACTCTTGCTTGTTTGCTGCCCCGCCCGGACCCAGGGCCTTGGCGTTGAAACCGGTTGCCTGACTGTTTGTCACCTGTCCTGACCCAGGAACAAGAAATTCCTAGTATGCCTAGCCTGTGTAAGAGGTCAGCATGGCTGCCCGCTGACCCAGACCAGTAAATGGATCAGTTCTGCCCCAGAAGATTGGATCTTTCCTCGGGGCGGGGGGGGGGTGTGTGTTTGCACCATGCCTATATTTTACAGTGCAGCTGGACCTGTCGGGGCTACCTAGGCTAGTGAGTAAGCCATGTGAGTGGCCCTCCATCTCAGCGGGCCACAGGATTGTTGTCACCACGGCAGTCTCCTGGAATAGGGTATTTTTGCTGACTGCGCTTGCGTACCTAGAATGTGCAGGATGGGCTGATGGAACCGTAACCGCGCTGTGATTGGCTGCAGAGGGAGCAGTCGACGTGTGCCATCAGGTCAGGTCACACCTCACCTCACGTGCCCTCGCTTTGCCGGTAGGAAAATGCCAAGGACCCAAAACCAGTGGAACCTGACAACCCTGTGTGTGAGTTAACGGTAAACAAAACGTCTCGTGGGCTACACCAAACCAACGGGCCCCATGCAGCAGGCTGCCCGCCGCTGACCTGGAATGTAGCCTTTCCACCAGAGCTCGCTGCCTTGATACCAAGCCAGGTCAAAAAGTGGGAGGTTCAAAGCGGATGTGGAATTGTCTCTTTTAGGAGCACAACTTGCATTTGTGGGTAAAGCACACGGCTGGGCATTGGCAGAGTGGGCTCTGTTCCCAAGTCTGCCACAGATGGGGTGGGATCTGTTTTTCTTTGATAAGCCCATCCGTAGCATGCTGCCTCTGTTTTCCTATCTGTGAAATGGGGATAATGGTACTGCCTTTGTTTAGTCTGGTTAGATCACCACAGAGCCGCGCTCTCACCATGCCTGAGCAGTGTCTGACACAATAGGGTCCTGTTCGCCTGGGCAGGGGAGGAGGGGTGTCTTTACACAGTTGTAACAGTAGCAAAAGTCCTGTTTCTCCAGGCCATTCGTTCTCAAGGAAGTAATAGCGACAGACCTTCAGTGTGCAGCTGAGAGAGCCTGACACCTCTGGAAGAGGCCTGATTGTCAGCTGAAAGTAAGGTGTGTGTCAGGCTGGGTTCCCGAAACCACAAGATGCTGTGGGGGCGGGGGAGAAAAATCTCAGCCTAGTCTTCCACAGCTGCCTTAAGGCCTTCACAGTAAGACCCCCCCACACTTTACAGTGCTCTGGCAGGGCCCACTGAAGTGGCCACAGAAGTAAATGCTGCTTCCTTTAAGGCTCCTTTATGCTGCCACTGGTGTAAAGGGGCGTTCGTGTGAAGGAGAACCAGGCCTTCCATTTCCTCCCAGAACAATAGGCTGGCCAGCTTCTTTTTAAAGAGAACACACACGTGCCCTGCGTCTCAATGACGTGTGCCAAGCGCTACACAAAAAGGGGGCAGTCGGGGATGGCTCCGGCATCCTCAGCGTTTTAAAAGGTCCGTGTGTCGGCTTGGACCAATCACATGGAGACAATGCCTGGCCTTCCCCAGGCCAAAGGCTGGTGCTCCAGATGCACTAACTACCCAGCTTCCTGGGAAACACCCTCCACCCCCACCCAGGTCTTAGTTCCATACAGACAGCGAGCTCCTGTTCGACTGACCCAGATCCTGCTGCAAAGCAGCAATAGGGGTTTTGTTTGCTGTACCCTG